CCCCAAAACCCCAAAACCCCATTGTATACAAAAATTAAAGATATCAGAGGTTTTTATTTGCAAAATTTAAAAAATCATATTATCAAATGTTATTAAATGGACCTCACATTACAGCTTTAAAGCTTCTCATTTTATATTGCTTTATTTAATAGTTCTGTTACTTTTATGGCATACTTTTGTTCTTATCTTCATTGTAGGTGTTGTATTATTTAGTTCAGATGAGATACAATCTAATAAAGGTGCCTGAAGGTACAGATGATTTATTTTTAAGAGTGAACACTAAGGTGGTTTATCATATAATAACTTAAACAAAAATAGAAAGTGTTGAGTCTGTCAAGAATCAAATTATAAAATATACTGAGCATTAGTTTCCTGAAATGAGAAGCACTCTTGTAAAGATTATGAACAATCATTATCTAAAAGTACTGTCTAAGATTGATTTTAAAAAACAGTTGAATGCTGCAATCTTTGAGATACTAGATGACTTTAAAAATGAATAGGAACTATGTGATTTTATCAATTTAAAATTAAATAAGGACATTCCAGATGATGCTCTTTAGTACAAAATATTCGTGAAGTAAGACTTTAATGAGAATCAATCAGCTGTAATATTCTTAATGAAGCATGCATTGTGTGATGGTGTTGGATTTTTCAATTTGCTATCAGGACTCTAGCGTGATTTCTTTTATAGCAATTTGCCTTATGTAAGGAAGAGAACCTTTAATGAGACTCTAAAAAGATATATTCAATTCCCATTCAGTATCATTTTCATGTATCAGAGTTTAATGCTACCAAGATTTAGAGGAACCATATTTGAGGAATCCAAAAATCGTAAAGTTGAGTATGTTATCTCTGATGATTATAAGCTAGTTGATCTTAAAGCCTCTTCTAAAAAGTTATGCTGCACTATTAATGATTTTTTCTTAGCCTCAAGTTGCATTGCATTTAAAAGACTTTGCGATTAACTTAAACTGACTGATTTAAGTAAATTTGAGACTTTAATGATAATTAACTAAAGAGAACCGATAACTGCGAGATCTTAAATTAATCTTTTTAATAATTTCTTTGGCACTAATGTAACTATTGATTTCAAAGACGAAAATTTGTTCAAAAGTTCGAAGGTTTAGGAGAATTTTAAAGCTTTACTTTCATAGTTTAAACCAGCATTAGAAAAAGTGAAGTATGATGATAGGGGATTGGGACAACTTGCTTGGCTTAAAGCAATATGCTCAATTACCCCAGATATTGTCATGGATACTACTAAAATGGGTGTAAATTTCAATAATAGACTTTGGTCAAATATCAGTGGTCAAGAAAAACCAATTAAAATAGGTAAAGCTTTTTCCGACAAGATATTTTTCTCAAGCTTCTTAGACTCTTAATCGTATTTGATTGCTAATGTGTTATCTCATAATGGCTTGATTAGATTGGGATTAGTAGGAGCAAATAACTTTGATTTTAGAGAGTATATGAAGATATTCAATGAGGTAATGAGGTAATTATTATCAGGAAAATGATTTATTTTATTTAAATAGATTAAGATTTATATTTTATCATTATTTACTTACTTGTTCTGAATAGTAAATTGAGGGGTTTTGGGGTTTTGGGG